AGCTCCAGCTCTGTCCCCGGTGTTAGCATGAGCTCCGCTATCCCCTCCGGCTCCTACCCCGTCGGTGGTGGATACGGTGGCAAGCCCTCCTCTGCTTCCTCTGAGGTCCCCGAGGCTGCCACCAGCAGCTCCGTCGTTCCCGGCGTCAGCATGAGCTCTGCCATCCCCTCCGGCTCTTACCCAGTCGGTGGCGGCTACGGAGGTGTCCCCTCCTCGGTCGTTCCCGAGGCTGCCACCACCAGCAGCATGGCCGGAACTGGTCTTTACCCCACTGGCTCTGCTATGGTCCCCACCGGCACTGGTATGGTTCCCAGCGGTGTCTCCTCCACCCCCATCAGCGACATGGTGACCTCCACCATCTACAGCACCCAGATCTTCACCAAGACTGCTTGCCCCCCTACCGTCACTGACTGCCCGGCCCACTCCACCGCGCTCGTCACCAGCGTCGTTGCCGTCGGCACCACCGTCTGCCCCGAGTCTGACCTCCCCAAGCCCACCGGCAGCTCGGCCATGACCAGCTCCTACCCCGTCTCTGAGGTCGTTCAGACCTACACCGAGACCCTCGTCTACACCGTCGGTGTTGGCTCGACTGCTCACCCAGTCACCACTGAGGTCACCTCCACCTCTACCTCCACCCAGTACTCCACTGTCGTCGTCACTGTCGGCAAGCCCACTCCTACTGGTGAGGTTCCCTCTGAGGCTACTGGCCCTGCTGGCGGCGAGGGCTCCTACCCCACTGGCCCCGCCGGTGAAGAGGATGTCACTTCCACCATCAAGTCTACCTCCACCTCCACCAAGTACATCACCGTCAAGCCCACTCCCACTGGTGAGGGCGATGTCCCCGCTGACTCCGAGTCCAACCCCTCCGGACCTGCTGGTGGCAACGGTGCCTACCCCACTGGCCCTGCTGGTGGTGAGGCCAAGCCCTCCACTCCTGCTGGAAGCGAGGGTGGTGAGGACTGCGCTGCTCCCGTCACTGTCACCGTAACTGCCAAGGAGACCGTCACCGTTACCAAGGGTGGTGACTACCCCGCTGCTACCCCCAACGCTCCTGAGCCAACCCCCGAGGTTCCCTCTGAGCAGACTGCCTCCTCCAGCATGCCCGCCGTCCCCACTGCCATGTACCCCGTCCCCGGTAACGGCACCAACCCCTACCCTGCCGGCCCCACTGGCTTCAAGACCTCCACCAAGCCCGCCATGCCCACTGGCACCGGTGCCGTCCCCACCTCGGTCCTCCCCAGCTTCTCTTTCGTCTCTGAGGTAGCCACCCCCACCGGCGAGACTGCTATCCCCTCCTCCAGCGTCCCCGCCTCCGCTGAGACCAGCTCTGCTGCCTACCCCGTCGGTGGCGGCTACGGCGGTGCCTCCAGCTCTGCTGCCGTCTCTACCCAGACCCCTGAGGCTTCCACCGTCGCCTCTTCCTCCGCTGCCCCCACCCCTACCCCTGACAACAGCTACGGCTCTGGCAGCGGTTACGGCTCCGGCTACGGCACCTACTAAGCGCTAAAGTGCATTTCCTGTATATGAGCTTTCGCGTTTTCTTAGTGTCCTTTGTTGGGTAGGATCGCTTGATCCGCATTCTCGCATGTCTTGTCTGTCTACTGTATCAAGTTCCCTCGGGCAGGGGCAAAGCGTTGGGTGGTTTCCTTTGTGATGGATTGTTCACGTAAAAGTCGGGACTAGACAGTTGATATCATGTACATTCGACAATACATTGACTGTCTTTTTCCACATCACTCTCCGGATTCCCCTTGCTCGTTCGAACTCTGGTATCTGGACAAAGTCAGACTTGCAATGTTTGATGAACCTCGATTTGTTCCTAGACTTTTCCTTTGTTGCGGTTGTCAAATGACCTGGCGTTTATCTAGTTTTCTTGAATTTACTCTTTTCGCACCTGAATCCTGCCCGCAATCTCCATTGTGATGTTTCTTACTGAGCTTGATCCACTGACTTTGAGCGCCAGCGTTTCCCTTGCCGCTCTCGTCGAAACTCTGTCGCAAGCCCGGATCAGATCTCCAGTGACACAAACCTAATCTGCAGAGCTGATCACTGTACCTGCATACTGTTCCAAGACCATCCCTGTACAATCATCGCTGGCGCCACCGCTTGCACGTTCTCGCATGATCGGCCTCAAGTGTAACGTTTAATAAAGCAAACACAGCCACTCATTCGCAGCCGCAGTGTCCACGGTCGCGGGTCTGGTGCTGCACGGCTCTATTCAGCCATTCGCATTCAGCCCCGGTTCTCGCTTTTCGAGCCGCGACAACTTACCGTGCCGCAGTGTATTAGGGTACATGACTGTACATAACACGCTTTCAGACGCCGACAGCCCTTTCGCAGTACTACATTATGCAACATCCTGTTGGTGGACGGCACGTGCACTGTCGCTGTTGATCACCCATGGCTCGAGCGACTACTGGCTGGTGTGGATCTATACTACATCCGCTATCAATAGACCGCATCTGGGATCGTTTCCTGCGCAAGATTGGTACGCGTCATTATACGCTCGTATTGGGCATCGGACGGGATGGTAGCACACCTCGCTACTAAACATAAATGGAAGTGGAAATAAATTCGCCGAGGACGTCCGTTCATGCTGATCGTGTTGACGCAAAACAAGAAGGGTTGTGGGTCTGGAAACGAGGCGAAAGCGGATGCAGGTGACGATGTTCAGATCATGTTGATCGATTTTTCTTGATTATGCAAGATGGGCCGGTGGCAGGTGGGTATGTTTGGGGGAGTTTCGCGCGTGGACGTGGCGATCGTGATTTTGTGCTATTCTTGAGGGTTTAATTTCCGATGTGGCCGAGGTGAGTGGGTTTGGAGATGCGGGACAGTGTACACGCATGATGTTGAGTAAACGAAAGGAAAGCGAGGAAGCGATTGAGTCAAACGAGTAATTGTTTTAAAGATACAACGGATGAAATGTGTTTGGCAAAGTGCCGCGCGCGCCTGTCGCTCCTGGGTATCAATGTCCTGAACGCCAAATGTACACCTCCTACACAGTCATGCCTCAACAACCATGGGCCTAGTAGTCACCATCGTAGTCATAGCCACCCCTCCTCCCTCCACCATGGCCTAAATGCCGTCGCACCCAGTACTGATGATATGTGGAATAATCCCGCTCACCACTGAGGCCGAGCTGCCCTGCAACATTGACATAACCGTCCTCATTCCTCTCCAGATTCTTTGTATCGACTTCACCCAGCTTGCCCTCGAAGCCTGTGTCTGCCTCCCACTTGGCACGACAGTATGGACAAGTCGCTTTGCCCTTTGAGACCGCAATCCAATTCGCCATACAAGCCTTATGCACGTTGTTTCCACAGCTGGCTTTGCAGTATACGATGGGTTCGTTCTCGCCGATTTCGTCGTAGCAGATGGGGCATTCACCCTCAATGGGCTTGCGGTTGCCGTCTTGGCCTTCTTGTTCAGTGCCGTCCTTTCCGTCTGTCTCGACGCCGGGAATGGGCGGCGCGTTCTTGATGACTTCGCGTAGCTCGGAGCGGATGAGGGCTAGTTGGTATGCGACGTCTTCCCGTGCCTTCAAGACGCGCAGCATGACGTATATGATGTGCTTGCATTGATTGCCCTTCTTCGCGTGTGGACAGTCACAGCTTGGGACGAGACCAACTGAGACAGTGTAGACGTTGCCTGTGGAGCCTGCGACAATGACCTTCTCCTCTGGTACATCATCGCTTCCGCAGCGTTCGCGCGAAAGGACTGTGAGGCGCTGTGTGAATGCTCTTTCCTTGATCGCGAGGTAGCTTTGTGGTGCCTGCTTGCGGAACACTCTCGCACGCTTCTCTTCGGCAGGCGCATCGGCGTCGCGCTTGCCTCTCTTCTTAGCAGGAGTCTTCTGGGTCTTCTTGGGAGAATCTCCCGTCAAGTCGATTACTTCGGGTGCGCTCTTCGTCTTTTTGACTTTCCGTGGTGTGGACTGGTGTTTGAGGTGCGCATCGTCATCGTCATCGTCGTCGGCGTACGTGGTAGTCTTTCGCTTGCGGGTCGCTCGCGTCGGCGGAAGGCCCAGGTCGGAGTTCATGGCGTGTTTGTGATGTAATTGGCGTCGCGAGGCGAACGAGAGAGTATCGGTTTGGTAGTCTGGTGCGATTGGCTTGCGTGCGGGGGAAGATGAGGAGGGTGGAGTGGCGGCAGCCCGGATCGCGCTTGCCTCACGCGTCCACGTGATGACGTAGCTAACATCTATTCCATCCATTGGAGACTCTTCTTCTCCACCTCAACTACTGCCATTAGGCCAATATATCTTGCGGTGTTCTTATCGCATCAATAACGACTCAGATCTCTACCTATACACTACGCGACACGCAGCACTTCTGACATCCATTCTCGAACTGGAAACCGCACAGTTGCTGTCGTTGCTCTTTCATACCAGTCTCCTCTTTTCATGTTGTACGTTTTGAGACTGTTTATATCCGCATACAGTGTACAGATTGATAGCGACGCGTGCCCGAAACTTGGGTGTCAAGGGCTCGCTACCACAGCTCAAGCCTGCAATCAGTGCCTCCGCACTCCGCTGCAATACAAGTGTAATCATTACATTAGAATGTGGCACTGGCATGGTACTATGTCTTATTTCGAGATACGCGTTCGAACCCATTTATTCGAAATGATCCGTTATCCGTTACTCTCCCTGCATGTCCCTATCCTACAAGCTTCCGTGGTACACCCAAACATCTCACCCACAATCTCGACCATGCTTTGCAATTGCAGGCGCTCGTTTGGCCCACATCATTTCATGGTCTTCAAGTTGAGCGGACTGCGCCCGTCATTACATGGCCATTAACGAGCTCATAACTGCGCTCACCCCTGCAGCATTCCAGACTGGTACCGTGTCGTGACAACGTCAGCTACTACGATTGACCGGCTCCTGTCATCCTTTTCTCATCCTAACCTTATTCTCCGTTCCTCGTATCCCACCGGCCCTCTTCACGACAATATCCGCGCGACGACTGCGGTGACAGCTCAAGCGACACAAAGCCATGGCTAGGCACGCAGTAGAGAAGACGACACCGGAAGAGCCTTTGGATGAGCAACTGATTCAGTCACAATCGACGCCGTCGACGGACCTCGAAGGACAGGCTGCGCCAGCTGAAGAACAGGATGTCTTTGGTAACGAGGAAGGCGCTGAGATACAGTACAAGACGTGCAAGTGGTGGTATGTACACAAACTACCTGATTCTGTGTGCAGTGTCACTGAACGAGGTTTAACGGTACTTTGGTGCTTCTCGGCGTACGGCATGCATCGTTCGCTGGGCGTGAGATCCTTCTTTGAACTATCGCTGACTTTCAACTGCCAGGAATGTCGGCACTCGTAAGCCCCCCGTACCTCCATACCATCATCCCAATAACATAGTCAAGTTATGCTGGCGGAGAATGTCTCATTAGGCGTCCTCGCCCTTCCTCAAGCGCTTGCGATCCTCGGCCTCGTCCCCGGTCTCCTCTGCATATGCTTCCTAGGCATCATCGCTACATACACTGGCTATTTGATCGGCGAATTCAAGCTGGCTCATCCGTCTGTAGCGAACTACGCGGATTGCGGCATGCTTATGAGCGGGCCAGTGCTTCGCGAGGTGCTTGCTGTCGGACAACTACTAGTCTTGATATTCATCATGGGGGCGCACATCTTGACCTTTGCGGTCGCGATGAATGCGATGACCGACCACGGCACTTGCACTATCGTATTCACTGTTGTCGGACTGATCATCTCCTTCCTGCTAGGGTTGCCCAGAACGTTCAAGAACATCAGCTACTTTAGCTACTTTTGTAGGCCAAAGGATCCGACCGCTTCATGTGAACTCGCGACTGACACATTTCAGCCTGCGCTTCCATCATTGTGGCAGTTACGGTAACCATGATCGCGATTAGTATCCAGAAGCCAGACATGGGCAACATCGTTGCTGTGCGACCCGATGTACCTCTCGTCAAAGGACTCGCACCCGTGGTTAGTCCTTAGTGTACGAAGTGCATGTGAGACAAATGCTGACTTCGTACCTCCACCTCTGCAGATGAATATCGTCCTAGCTTACAGTACGTTGTTTCCTGTTCTGTGGTCATAAATACGTCTGCTGATCTCATACAGCTGGACACGTCGCTTTCTTCTCGTTCCAATCCGAACTCGAAGACCCTCGCGACTTCCGCAAAGCTCTCATCTTCGAGCAGGGTATCGCAGTCACATTCTATATGCTCATCTCCGTCATCATATACTACTACGCAGGGCCTCTCGTAGCCTCACCCGCCCTCGGTTCCGCGTCCCCCCTCGTCAGTAAGATTTGCTTTGGCATCGCGCTGCCCACGATTATCGTCGCAGGCGTAGTCAATGGCTCTGTAGCGACCAAATACATCTACTTTCGCGTATGGAAGGGTACCAACGTAGCATCCACTAACAGCTGGAAGAGCTTGGGAAGTTGGGGCGCTATATGTACAGGCGCATGGTTGGTAAGCTGGATCTTGGCTGAAGCAGTGCCGAACTTTAATTTATTGTTGGGATTGATCGGAGCTCTCTTTGGAAGCTGGTTCAGTTGTAAGTCACTGCCAACACGACACTCTGTGAAGAATCGTAGGTGCATTGGCTGACGCATGTAGATGCGCTTCCTCCACTGATGTGGCTGTGGCACAATAAGAAGAACGGTAGGCTGTTCTCGTCGACTTCGCAAACGGCTTTTACCATTTTGAATATCTCTATCGTTATTCTAGGCATGCTCATTGTAAGTCTACTCCCCAAGACATTACAAGACGAGTGCTGACTCCCTGCTACAGTTTGGACTTGGAATGTGGTCGTCAGGATGGGCGTTGAATCGCGGGTCTGGCGGCAAGGTATTCTCTTGCGATAACAACTGGCATCCTGTGAGCTGGGTTTCAGGAGGTACCAAAGATGCATAGATGGAGCGCATGGGTTTGGAGGGTGTTCTCGTGCTGGTTCGGGCTCGCTGATGGGCGTGATGGAGTGAAGGATGGAATTGGAGATTGATTCGATGCGCAATTGTGTTGTAAAGATAAGGAAATACGACGCATTCGATATCAAATTGTAGGCGTTGTGCGAGACAGTGTTGCTGCAGGATAGTAGCATCGCAGAAGGGAAGCTATGACGCGCCGGGACCTGCACAACCGAGCGCTGCGCATCTCACGACTCCTCACTTCACGAGCCAATGACAAGCCTCTCCTACCCCAGTGCGCGTCCGAAATAAGCTGTTTCCCGAAGAAAAAGTCGCAGGCTCAGGTAATCTGGCTAATATCGATGTGGACGGGAAATGCCAAGTGAGGAGGCTGGACGACCTGGCCTCGCTCGGGCTCACCACGATGCTTACGCTGCGTTCCGTTGACTAGACGACGCACATATTATAGTTCTTTCTGAATCAGGCCGAGGATATCTTTCCCGCGAACTGGTACGATTGTTCATATTGCGAAGGGTTGTACCACTGTTCCGCTGGTTTTCGTACTCCTGCCCTTAGCCAACCGTCCCACCTCGATTTCCACGAGCGCTCAAGCGTCCGACCCCGACCTCTTCGCTGCCCAATTTCCCCCTGATTGAAGTTTATACGTCCCCGCGACACCAACGCGACTGCGATATCATCTCGCGACTCCATCCTCATCATGCCCGTCGAGCTCCGTAAGCGCAAGGAAGCGCCCCCAGCGCCTGTGCGCCCGACGAAGAAGAAGGCGCCCGCCAAGGAGAAGAAGCCTGAGAGCGAGAAGACTGTCGTCGAGAAAGTCCAGGAAACTGTCACTGAGCAGGTCGAAGCTGTCAAGGAAGCTGTTGTCGGTAAGAGCAACGGCGAGTCCGCTGCCGCTGCGAATGGCCCACCCAAGGTCGGCGACACAATTGACCTCGCGTCCTTTGGCGGAGAATTTGAGACGAACGATGGAGACAAGACCACGCTTGCAAAGCTCGTAGAGGAGAGCAAGGGCGGCGTCGTGCTCTTCACCTACCCCAAGGCTTCAACGCCAGGATGTAAGTCTCCAACCCCTGACATCTCCCTCACATCCACATTCGCAGTACTAACACATCCAATCACAGGCACAAAACAAGCCTGCCTCTTCCGCGACTCCTACGACCCCCTCACCGCAACCGGCTACTCCATCTACGGTCTCTCAGCCGACAGCCCCAAAGCCAACACAACCTTCAAGACCAAGCAGAAGCTTCCCTACACCCTGCTTTGCGACCCTTCACAGAGCCTCATCAAGGCCATTGGCTTCAAGAAGCCACCGAAGAGCACCACCCGCGGTGTTTTTGTTGTTGATAAGGAGGGCAAGGTGCTTGCGGTGCAGCCTGGTGGTCCGGCGGCTACGGTTGATGTTGTGAGGGAGCTTGTGGGTGATAAGGAGGGGGTGCCGGGGAAGGGGGAGGTGGAGAAGGCGGAGAAGAAGGAGAAGAAGGAGAAGAAGGAGAAGAAGGAGGATCAGGAGATGGCTGAGACGGCTGGTGAGGTTGCTGATAGTGCGGCTAAGGTGGATGGTTAGGGGGCTTGGTGCAAATCTGCATACGCGTGATGAGGGTGCAGGGCTGTTCTGTGTCACTATCGCGGAGTTCAGGTCTTTGATGGCTTGGGAAAAGTGTGTGATACTTCATCGAATACGATTCCAGGTTTTGGCATATGTTGACTACTCTCTAATTCTCGCGACTTTGCTAATGCGAAATGGCTAGGTCAACAGAGCTTCGCGTCCCTGAGGGCCTAGCATCTCTACTGCGATACGTCCGGGATAGTGGTCCTTATGCTTTCGAAAGAATCGTATGGATTGGAGCACTTTGTCTTGATCACAACGATGATGACGAGTACTCGGAGGAGCATAGTTTCACCACATAGAAGAAAAAAACTGAACAGGTCTGCAGACTACATCAGGACAAAAGCCTGCAAAGTAGGTGACCCAACATCAACGTAGGCTCCAGGCTGTTCAGCTTTTCCCTAGCTAGGTTGGCGTGATTTGGAACTGGATCCCTTTTTGGCCCAACGCAGGAAAGCGCATCATCACTCTTGCAATCAGACCGTATGTTGAAATACCATTTCAATGTCTAGCCTGAACTAATACCAGGCCCTGATCTGAGTCGAAGGCGCACTCGAGTTTTCGTTGATACATAGGAAAGCGACCAGGTCTCGGGCTCGCTGTGATCGCATATGCGAACCAAAGCGCACCATGGCAGAAAAGGCAACCTAATCGAGGTACGCGCCATAGCGGACTGAACGGACGCTTTGACAGGTTCATGCGCCAGACAAAGCCAGCTCATCGTTGCCAGTGACCGGTGGAAAGCTCGCTCGGATAGTTGCACAGCCCGGACGTTCGCCAGGAGAACGTTGCTCCACCAGAAGGAGTCTGCATGTTAATCGATACATCAAGACACGATACACACCAATACTGTGCTCAGAGCCTGGCACAGGCTCTCAAGCTTACCTGATACCGGGAACGCGAACAAAGCGCAAAGAGCAACACACTACGACATCATGATGCTCAATGACGTCGCTTGTACAAGGCGCTCGTCGAGGCAGTTTCTGATGAAATCACGCACAAAGACGTATGTGCCTAGACGACAGGAGCTTCATCTTGCACTGCTGATGTTGTTTTGGAGCCAATGGAGGTGCAGTCCAGTCCCGTGCTGCGCCACAGCCTTACACGAATCTGACCGTATGGAGCGGCTGACCGGTACCAGACTCAGGCTGCTTGTTGAGAACCCTAGGCTAAGCTTCTGTGGTTTGCAGATGTGAAGGAGGTGTCTGTACCACGTGTCTGACGTATCCGGTGAGTTCGTCTCACCCCGTGTGCGTCGAGTATTGGATCACCGCGCAGCCGGACGGTGGATTGAAGGTCTGACCGCTGGCATAGAACGCAGGTTCTTCAAGGCAAACACTTTTGTTTCAAATCAGGCGTTGTTCGTCGCTTGGGCCGAGTCTCCAAACGTGGGACTGTTGAGTGGCGCAATCGCTGCTCGTTGTATGAACGGTAACTACAGGTAGGTACGCGCACGTTGCATTCCTCGATTCGTATTCAGCATACGTGTTGAATCGATAGTGGACAACAGTAAATAATGGGCATTCAAGTATTTCGGAAACTTATTCGTAGAGGACATCTTCGTGCTTAGATGCTTCCATACTGCTGTTCTCGTCCGAGCTAACGACATATCGCCGAAAGAGTACCACTTGGAGGACCTCATTGCTGCGCCACCTGTTCAAAGTCTAGGTCTGATCTGAACGAACCAGCTGGTTCACCCCGCAGATCTTGACGAGTCGAGAGCCCAAGTGTGTGCAGTACACGCTGTCCGGTAACCCAAACGCCGCCACTTGATTGTGGCACAGCAAGTAGACAGCCTGATGAGGCTCTTTAAGGTCTAAGCCCATTTAGCACAGCCTTCTAACTCCAAACTGCTATACTAGCCCTTGACCTCTGCAGCATTGCGTAATGTTCGAGATCGCCTTCCGCTTCCTTCTTCTTGAATTGTGATCACTACAGACCATCAAACCTCCGCTACCAAAATGATCCAACCCAGTAAAGTCAAGCGACTATTCTCTTCTCGCGGTGAGCCATAGAGTCTCGCAATGTGGATCGTTTGCTCAGAGCTAACATACTATTGAAGGTGACCGTGACAAATCAACCAACCCAGCGCGTCCTGCCCGGATCTTCAGTGAAGTGGATGAAGATTGCGAATCACTCAAGAGCAAGGACAAATGGTACAGGCGTGCGTTCTCCGCAGCGTGTCCAAGGTTCAAGCAACTCCTTCCGTCTCAACAACGGTCCAGCACATCGACAAGCGATGCTCCTACCCTATCACGCAAGCTCCGCCGAAGATTCACACCCGCAAGGCAGAACGAAAACTTCAAAAGGATGGTCGCTGTCTCCTTATGGGACGAAAATCGCCGTCAATGGTCAAAACCCAATCCTGGTATCGTTTTAGTGGACACGCAGAGCAAGTACAACTTGATCACTCTCCAATTTCTCGCGGAATTTAGGTTGGCACCGAGCCCCAGCTCCGAACCAATCAGCATAACCCTCAGCAACAATACCGAGGTGCCATGTCTCGGTCAGGTTGAGGCAAGATGGTACTGCAGCGATCCTCGAAAGGTCCCCAGCTTCCGACCCCGATTCGAAAAGTCGATCTTCCAGGTGGTGGATCTCGATACGTTCGAACTCGTTATCGGAAGTGATACAATCGTAGAGCTGGGGCTCTTGCAAGGAAACCGCGACTTCTTCGGTGCCTATCGGACTTTACAACCTCGAGTCGACTGTACGTTTGTAACCTCAGATTGTGAACCGTCACTGACGCGAGACAGCTGCCACACTCGCTCAGAAACAGAGAGAGGCTGAAGAAAGACGCAAGAAAGAGAAAGAGAAGATGAGGCAGTATGAACAGCAACAGGTGAGCCGTCAAAGCTCTCGTTCATGGTTGCAATGCTGATTTGAACAGGCGCAAGCAGCTGCGGCTCAGCGACGCTGACACCTTACTCGAACCATACTACACACTCTCAAATGAATCCTATAATGGGTCTTGGATACGCTCAGAGATCGTTTCGGTCGCCGATCCTACTTCACGTATGCGTAACACGCCAACAAAGGACGGGGGCCGGACTGCGACGAGATAAAGGCGACGGCTTCTTATGTTGAATATCGTTCAGATTGCAAGTTGGGCTGAGCTGACACGGAGCGGGGTGAGCTTCAACTGAATTGCTCCAATGGCTGAGTGGCCGGATGAGTGCTGTGCCGAAGTTGGTGGCGCACGCATGCAGATGGTTTCAACGCATGCCACCTGGCCATGGTTTTCCTGCAGCGTATACGACCGACACGAAGTCTACCGAGGCTAGGCGAAGGAGCTGTGGGGTAATTGGTCACCAACACTGTTTCCTTTGGACATGTTCATATCTCCGTCTAGAAAGGATGGTTTCTATTTGCGATTGAATTTACATTAACCCTCCTCATCCTACCGTACTCCTATCAGACCCAACAAACACGACCTGCACAGCAGCAAACCTTGAGTCTCGTCAGTAGGTGAGAAGTGAGGAAGATATGAACATACTCACGCAGCAGTAATAGCAAACACCTCGGCGCGTTTCGCATTGGCCAAACCCATCAAGCAAATAGAAACCAAAACATTGAACCCAGCAATGATCCCAAGTCGAGCAGTCATGGACTGAACGCGATATAGCACGGCAATGGACGCTATCGGTATGAGAGATGCGAGGATACTGGTGATCCAATAGGTGATGCGATAGATAGTGCTATCTTCGTAGCCGACCACTCCATGAACGCGAGAAGGCTTCATGTGTCGAGCACAGCCACACCTGAAGAGGTTGGTGATGGTACTCTCTGCAGCCCACGCGGAAAAGGCGTCCTTCTTTGCGCGCGGACATAGCGTCACCAGGTCCGGCTTGTAGGACTTTCGATTACAGGCAGAGCCCCATATCTCTGCGTCGGGTCCGTTTAACGCAAGATCGCCCATTGCCGCAGACTGGAGATAGTTTTGGATGTGGTGGAGATCCCAAGTGCTAGGCTGAGGGTACTTGAGAATCTTGGCTTGTTGTGTTAAAGCATCATCTGCCGTAGTCAGCCCGGTGCGTACTATGGAGAACCGTTAAACACACTGTACTCTTTGAGCGTTTTCCTAATCTTCATTACTAATTCCAGTTGTTCACCTGTGCCAGTGTTTGCGGATTCACGGAGCCAGAACCAGTTCAGAGCAAATGCTACCCTCTTCCCCGATGGATCCATGTGGTCGGCCAGCTGCCGCTCTCGTAGCTTATTCTCCAGATACGTAAGCTCAGCCTGCATGTACAGCAGGTTTTGAGCATTGAGGGCCCCAAACCTGCGGAATACGGCGAGCTCAGGTAGTATCTCCATCTGCGCAGCCAGTTTCGGATACCCTTTAACGAAATGATCAAGAGGATCTTGCGATGACATTGTTGCTCTTTCGTGGCTAGATAGCCTTCATGCGTGGTTCCCCATATAGGTGTCGCTCATTGCGCCCATATATCTTGAACTTAGCAATCGAATGTGCGTAAGAGCCTCCACGTCATTCAACACACCATCAGCACTCGAAAAGCCATGCGCATGAAGAGGGCAGAAGGACCTCTGGGTGAAGCTGCATACATCTGCAATGTCGAGCAGCCCTCAGCCTGAGATGCAGGCATATTCGTCAGGCATACACATCGTTCATCGCAAAGTTATACCCACCCCTACCACCAATGATAAGCCACCTCTGAACATGAAACCTGGATTCTTATAGATCGCTACGAAGTCGTTGATAGTCGTCGCTCGAATGTGTCCATGTTATCTATTGTTCTGCGACGAGACAGGAGTAGAGAAGTATCGTCAACACGAGAGCCTGGAACGAGACAGTCGTTAGCCATCTGCCATGAAGGTGGAAGCACAAGCGAAAGTTTCTTTGGATATCGCAAAACGACGAATCAGATGGAAGGCCAAACGAGTGGACAGTCAAGAGGACGCATCATAGCTACGTTGGTGTATGTGAGATTCCAAGGTTTCGGTGCGTGGGCGCCTGCCCAGGTGCTGCGCCTTTAGCGCAAGTGGTTGCCTCCCGGCCCGGGCGGGCACCTGCCAGTCGGGCCACGCGAGCATCGCAGTCCGCCTGGGTAAATTCCACTCTACACGAATAACACACCCGGAAACTCTATCACTTCCTCCCTATCTGTCGCTTCGCACACAGGTAGAGAGCAACAGAGATGAAAAATACGTCCGTTTTGAACATCAGAATTTGGCTGACGAGGCTACACTTCAACGCTGATCGGTAGAGGACATGCGGCTGCGCCCCGCTGACCACTCCAGGAACAGGCAATGGTTGCCTTCTTTCAGGCTGTGACGAAAGAACATTCGAGATAGATCCGCTCCGGGGATTCAATGAGATATCAAGATAACATATGCTGCGCCACTAGAGAGGAAACTGGAAATGGGGGCTCATTGGGTTTGACACCCCAACAACGCCTCAGAGCGTTCATGTTGCCCCAATTGTCATCTATGCAGTCCTTCTGGGTCATACAGATTGTCCGCATGCGAGACCGCAGGTATGCCTGGAGCTATTGGTCGCTTTTATAGGTAGAGGGTATGCCTCACGGAACTGTCCGAGAACCTTCCTCTCATTACACCCCAAAGTACAACTGGATTCAACTTGCATCCACATCGCTATCGTATCTCCGCGCCAAAAGAGGACCTTCTTACTCATTACACTCAAAGAATACACCTATCTACAACTCGCATCAACAACGCTACCGTATTTTCGCGTGAACCACCACCCGCAACGCAACTGACTACGAAAGATGTCTTGTTGTGGATTCTCTAGGTTGTTGTCATTTGGTGTGCGTCGTCCTACACCGTCATCGGCCATTATTAACGAGATCTAGCGAAGACGACGAATCCCTCAGCCGGCCCAAATCGAGATCTGCTCTCGAACGAAGGGTAGTCTGGAAACCTGGGAGGTAGCTGTCCTCTCATGCGATCCAAATACAACGGAAAGCATCATATCACGGCCCATGTTGCAAGTACTGGATGTTCCAGTGCATACAAGCGAAAAAACGGAATGCGTTCTCGCCAACCATCGAGGCGAAGGGGTGGAAGGATACGTCGACTTGACTTGGTGCTTCGGAAGCAATACCAAGCATATACAAGAGACCCGCTTTTGGGTGACGACGACGGAAAATCCCGCATACGATGTGGTACTGGGACGAAGGGATGCTGAAAAGTTCGGTCTCGTGAAGCCGGGAAGACACTTCTGAGATGTCGCATATCTCAAGCGTATATCGCATCGACACCAAGACTATCTCTTATTTCCTATCTTATCTTGTCGCCACATAGATTCCTGTATCAGACAACAGACATGGTGGTCCAAGACGAACTATAGTTCGCTGGCGTATCCGTTTGTGAGCCTCAAGCACGCCGAACGTCACTTCCTGGATGAAACCAGGGATTGAGTAGGCTGTTGTCTTTGTCATTTGTTTCCTAGCCTTGCATCTCATCTGCTACTGTCATTACGGTCATGCTTCTGTTTTGTTTTGTTTTGTTTTGTGTCCTCCGTTCGTAGCAACAATGAGTACTTTTACACTGTGTTTGGGTATTCGCTCCACTTGTCAACAGGTTTTACCCCAATTATTTTGAGAATATCGCTTCGTTCTGCTGATAACATGATGCTCACTGCGAAGAGAATTGATAGGCATGGTAATGTGATGTCGATTTTCTTTGCGCATGGACTACTGGTGTATGCCTAACCTCATAGCTTCTCCATCCATGAATGCATACGGCATTTGCATAATAGCGAAACGGGCCGTCACAAATCCCCAAGTCTTTCTTCCATGCATGATGTACCAGCTGACCCCTCAGACGCATGAGTCCTTTTCCTTTCCACTCAGTATTATGGATCCTTTGACTTGCTATTGGGAGGAATGACATCGACGTCGGCATCCAGAAAGGTCTGGAGATGGGAGCTCTCACCGGATTGCTCGTAGGAAGGCGGTAGCGTAGGTCTTCTCGCAGGTGGGGTCGAATAGTCGGCACTGGCATCGAGATCTTCAAGGCTGGTATTGGCGGCCTCCACCTCCAGGTCATGGGTATCTTAGGCAAAATGGTCAGACACGTGTTTCATAGGCTCATTGCATATGGCACGTACGAAAGATGGGGCGGCCTCTTAGCCGCCGAAGTAAGACGCAGCCAAGCGAATCATGGTGGTGCAGACCAGCTAGGGTAGCAACGGTACTGAAGGCACCAAATATACCAAAGCATATCTGCAACGCAAGTTCCGTAGAGTGATCGGTACTTGACATGATCGGATGACGAGACGCGTATGGCAGGTAGGGCAAGAGAAAGATAGTAAGCCTTCGATGACAGTGTAGTCTGGCCTAGAAGAGTCCTCAAGCCAAGTCACTGCGTGTGTAAAGCACAATTAGGGCTGGTTTCAGGTGTCAAGAGGAAATCGATTGGGCCCATCGTCACATCAATACAGCGCACTTTGTATTTATAGCAGGTGCATCTGGGTAGCTGCCATTTTCCGTACTACCAGCAATGCCACAGAGACAATCCAACAAGGACGTGGGCTCTGAACGGAACGTCGAGCAGCAGACACGGCGGTATATACTTACATTCCAAAATTAAGTGAGGCGTGAAGGGCCACCAGACTTGACTTACGTCAAGTGGCGTTTATTGTGGCTAAGGTCCGTCAACTGTGCGGTCGAGGCTCTCACCGGTGCGGAGAACATCCCCAAATCTGATAGCCTGCCCGCTCAACACCGGATTCTAGCTCCAATGACGCTCACAAGTCAAACAAGGCCAATCAGAGAAACACTGGTCTCAGCCTCAGGCAGAGAGCCTCCTGCGTGCCGCAGTCAGCTTCTTGTTGAGTTCAGCCTTGGAGGTCAATTGGATATGGAGAGGCCAGCACAACAATACATCTTGCATAAATCCCTCATATCGATATACTCATGATCCACATAGACCGGTGTTGAAAGAAGAAAACAACTCATGATCTTGAGAGAACGCGCCTTGAGTTCAGCCTGCGAGGCTGTGCAACATAATCCAATGCTGAGGCAAGAGACCGCGCACAGCGGAAGGGGAGCACCATCAAACACATCAAACACACAGACCTGCAATACTAACAAATCAAATATCCGGGTATCAAACATCCTAGCTCCCCTCTCTCCCAGGCCTATACGGAATATACGCATCCCCCACCTCGGGAATAACCGCATTCCCATCAATTTCCACCGGCGCAATAGGTTTCCTCGGCACCCTCGCCAACCCCGCAAGTTCCGTTGCTCCCTCTCCATTCCCCATACTCATTCCAGACGGGGAACTTCCATATGGCGGTGCAGTATTAGCCAATTTCTGGCGCTCAGCTTCTGTAGCATCCATCTCGACGTTCCACTCCGGTGTTTCGTGTGGGTTCTGTGAGGAGTTGGAGAAGTGGGCTGCGGTTGTGGTTGTGCCTTTGGGGAGGGCGTGGTAGGCGGATGGGAAGTGGTTTGCGTTGTCGTCGATGGGTCTTGTTGGGTCGTCATCTTTCTCGTCGCCCATGTGCTTTGAGGCGAGGGCTGCTTTCCTGTTCTTCTTTCGTCGACGCCAGAGGAGAAATAGGGCTAAGGCTCCGAGGATCATGACGAGTGGGATGACGGTGGCTATCGCTGCTATGGCACCTGTTGAGATGCCATTCCCACTGCCGTTGTTGTTACCGGAACCTCCTCCTCCTCCTCCTTGGCTTCCACTACTGTTACTTGCAGATGCACCAGTCGCTGTGTTCGAAGCAGTCGGGTTCACGCTGCCGGCGTCACTGGGTTGATACCTCAAGTGCAATGCAGTGATACTCGGCGTCGCGCTCGCTGGCCACGACCCCCCAGCATACGTCCTCAATTCATTCTCTTCCGCATCCGCTTCTCCGCATTCAACAACTGGGAAGTTGCCACTGCCGCCCGGTCGACATCCATCTCTTCCATCAGCCTGAAACCCATCGGGGCAACACTGCAAACCAATCTCTCCATCTATCCACCTGTTATCGCTACCCTCTCCATTCGCGTCTGTCTGTGTAGCAACGGCCGTCCAAGACGCTGGGCATGCTGTAGCGGGCGAGTAGAATGCGGATGGCGATGGGTAGATATTCGATGTCACCCAGGGCATGCAGGCGGTGTTGATGCTGAAGGGTATCGGATCCTCGTCTTCTTCGGGGAAGACACATGTCTCACCCCATGCGACGGCGCCGTTGAGATTGCGTAGGGTAGCGCATGCTTGAGGTGGCGCGGTCGCCCATGCTGTGTCCCAAGTGTGTTGTAGGCTTCGCGATGTAGACGTCATCACGGAAGTGAGGAGCTTCCAACTTCACCACAGCCACGGCTGTGTTTCTGGGCAATGCTGCTAACCCCAAGAATCAAGAAGAGATTGAAAGGATAACAATGCCAGAGAAAAAT